TAAATTGGCCATTAAAGATAATGCATTTTTGTATATTCTGCAACCCATACAGGGTGGATGATGAATAACATGACAGTTTATTTAAAATAGCCTAGTAAATTAAAAAAAGACAGTTCTTGTTGCATGGAGAATACAATGAAGGGTGCTGAAACTGTCCTCAGTGATACATTGAAGAGAACTGTGGTACATAGCATCAAGGGGCTTAAGAGTATTGGCAGCAAATTAAAGTAAATTACATCTACATAGAGAAGGACTGGTGCAGTCTTTAACCCACAGTTCTTAAGCCCTGACACACAAACATAAATCTCATATTCATGCCATTTGGTGTTATTTCCTCTTCCTTTGGATATCATTATCTCCAAACTTCATTGTGACCGATAAATCGGCTTAAGAATTTTAGGGGAAAAAAGTCTTTGTTGAACCTGCCTGGCACTTGTCACATTGTTAAAGTAATCCAGGGATTGTTGTTTGTACAGCAGTGAGTACTTTGCAGTCAGGAACTGCTAATAGCTAATATGGCATTCTTTTAATGGTGCTTATTAAAAAACTCTCACTAGTTAGACTCAGTACTTAAAAGAATAGTAGCACCAAAGATGTCTCTGCTTCTGCTGGCTTTAATTATAACAAGAGTGGTTTCCCAAACACACCTACATGCCAGTGTTGGCATTTTCAGAATCATTTTTGTCTTTTTCTAATTTTCTGCTATTTTTTTTTGACCCACCTACAAATATAAGAATGTCTACTAGACAATATTTAAATTACAGATTGGGGGGAAAAACAGGAAAAAGAGTAATTGAAACTGGAGCAGTAATTATTACTCCAAAATTAGCAACGAGGGACATTGTGCACTCCTTTTGGAGGGGGCACAGTGGGGTCCCAGGGGGTGGGGGTGTTACTCTGCCTTCTTATGTTAGCAGGTACCTGGCATTAACATATGGCTTGCTTTACTGTACACCAATGAGGTTGTTCATATGAAAGTGAAAAGTTCTCGTTCTTTCATAATATGAGATGAACTATGAAGAAATTTGACTAATTCAGTAACAAACATTTGCATTTCAGTTCACTTAAATAAGTTCAGTTTCATTTATATAGCATGGAATCACAACAGTTGCCTAAAGGCAGCTGTTATATTAAGGTAAATGGAATATGTAGTATAATGACTTTTTTATATAATATGACTAAACAAATAAAGTAGACCAAGAAATTCTAAAGCTGCTGTATAGTAATCCCAAATATTGAAAGTCTGTGCAAAATTCTTCATTTTGCTTTATATTTACTGTTTCTATGACGTGATGATGGAAATAAAACATTCGTATGAAGATGACTTGTTAGCTGTTTTACTACTACTCTTTCAGAAATTAAAAAAATGTGATGATTGGTCAATAATTGGCTAAGACAGTTGGGTCAAGTGATGGTTTCTAAGTAATGGTTTAATTACCACCACCTCAAAGACATATGGTTTGATCATACCTAAGATCAAATAATTATTAATAGCATGACTTCTTTGAGCAGTCTTTTAAGAATGAGGTCTAACAGACATGTTGATGGTTTGGAAGTATCAAAATATCAAAGCTAACTCAGAAAGATCAGAAGCTTAAAGGGCCTGATTTACCTCTCGGTTCTTTTGTCAGGGTTTTTGGATCCCCCCCCCCTCCCCCCTTTTCCTACTGTGTCAAGTTCTCCTGTGTCCAGTCTTCCAGTTATTATTTTCCTGTATTGTTTTGGTAATCATGTATCTTCTGGGTCTTGCATTTAATTTTATTTCCTGTCATTGGCTTAATTAGTTTCACCTGTGCTTCATTTCCCCTGCTGTGTCTCATTCCTCCGATTAGCCCTCAGTCTGTTCAAGTGTGTGTTTATAGACTTGCTCTAGTCTTTTGGTCTTTGTCTGAATGCTTCCCTTGTGACTGCCTGCCATTTGGAGTTGGATTTTCTTTGTTGTTTTGCTTCATCCACTTTGTACTTTTAAAAAGACTTTTCTACCATCGTTAAAACGTGTATTTCTGCTATTTCTGTGACAAATATACAATATAAAATTGGTTTTCTGTTAAGTTGTCTGTTCTGTTATGACACATGAATAGGTCAGCATTAACAAACAAGCAAACTAAATAAACTCCAAACACGTGTCTCTAAAAATGGTCAGGTAAACAGACTTGTCTAAGAGTTTAGGTGGAAAAAGTAGCCAGTGCCCAAAGAAAAACTATGAAAGACTTTCACAAATAGTTTCACAACTATTGCTCAATACCATTTGGAGAAAGTACAAGAATTCCTGGCTCACTGAACAAAAATGTAAAGACATTTGCACAGTACAGTACATTCTTGCAAAACGGGCAAAATCTTTTCCATAGCCTGAGTAAATTTAGCCTCACATCAAAAAAAGTAGAGAAATTAAAATGAGAAAATATGGCCGATAACGTCTATCACAGCGAATGTTTGCATTTCTAATTTACAGGGACGTAATTAACAGTCTGTGGATTATTTTCTCTAATGAAGGACGACTTTTATTTCCAATTATCCCCACAAAGTCACCTCGTGTTCTCCTGAGCTGCAATAATAACATAAGTTAGTGTATTTAGGATCCTGTAGGAATAATGGTTCATTTTATCAGCCTGACTGAGTACATTAGATAAGAGGCTAATGTGATCGTTTGAAGTTCTAGTGCAGGTTAACCGTGAACCATGCTTTAATATGAGCAATGGCTCCAGACTTTCCAGTGGCTCCACTTTAGAACCCAGATATACCAGTAGCTAGAAAAGTCTGTTTTGCAAGTCACTTGAGATATTTTTAGTTAAATTACACACTTTTCTTGTAATTAGCCCAAACTGTGTAGCTTGTCTCTTAGTTTACTCAGTTCACAGCTGTCTGTCTTTCATATTTCAGGGAATTGTGTACTTACAAGGAATACCTTATTGAAATACACAAAAGTTTTGTTAGAAAAAAAATCATATTGACAGCTGACAAAGACAAATTGCTCTACAAGCGTAATTATTCAGACCTCAGCTCTGAAATGACAAGCTTCCACAGTGGAAGCAGGCTGGCAAACAGAAGTGATCATGGGAAAATTTTGGTGATTTTCACTTTGACTTGATACTCAATACTAGTCAATTAAAAAAGGATGTCTTTCAAGCACCTTACAGGTTTCTATCTGTAACCTATATTTATCGGTTCTTCCCACCCCTTCTGCTATAGCCAAGATGGTAACTTTTATTGCATTGCATGAAGATACTTCACATCAGTTTGAACACACTTACATACTTACGTGGCAAGTGTCCATATGGAGGTGTGCAACTTTAAAAAGCAGTACCATAGGGTTTTCCAACATCCACAAATGGTTGAGTCGGAGCCAAACTTTGGAATAAAATCGCAGTAAAAAAAGCTGTTTTTCTTTTTCTTATTAGTGTCTTGTTTAATCTTCTGTTCCTCGATCCTACTTGCTTTTCTGACCCCGACAGCAGTGTGTTTTCTTCTAGCATGACAGCGATGGCTGTGCCATCATGCTATGAAAATGACTCCCAGCTTTCCTGACTTTATCATTAATACTAGAGCCCTTAATGTTGCTGATCTGGTATTTCGGTACACCATACTTGCTGTGGCTCAAGATGTTGTCGCACCTCTTTGTTTGTTTATGTGATTGTGCAGAAAATACATATATTTGGTACTTTGCACTGAGTTCTGTTAAGTTAGCAGATTTGTGATGCGGAGAAAAAATATTCTCCAAATTCTGGAGTACAATGAACATACAGTGAAGTTCTAAGTGTTTGTTATTCGGTGTTATAAGTACATTATTGATATTACTCTAATGCATAATACACAATATGCAACGTAAACTAATATATATGCCTTATTTGTACTTGTCCACCTGCATTCTTGTTACGTTCAGGTGTAGGGTGTACATTATATATAGGTGTGAGAATAATAATGATGGTGACTGATAGGTACATTTCATTTCCCTTACTTAATATGCAATATTTCTTGCCACTAAACTGTATTATGTTCTCCATATGTGAACTATTCTGGTGTAGAATTCTGTTTTCTCTTCTATGTGATGGTGACTGCAGTGTTTGTACCTTGGTTGTGACTACAGGAATAGCTATACCCCAAAAACTGTGCAGCCTTCCTGTCCAGCTTTCAAGTTGTGCGTCTTTGCAAAAACAAATAGTCCAGACTGTTTAATTATAGTAAATATCATTTGAACATGTTGGTTTCTTGTTTAGTTTTGCTGCACTCACCTCTAATGTCTCAATTTTATATTTTTCTCTTGTCTGTTGTCCACCAGAGCCAAGAAGAAGACCAAGCCCTTGAACCTTAAGATCCACAGCAGTGTGGGCAGCTGTGAGAACCTGCCCACACAGCGCTCACCCCTCCACACTGAACGATCTCTGCGATCCTTCTTCTTCCCCTCTTTCATCCCTTCTACACCACCTGTTCATGCTGAAACACCCTCTGCAAGTAAGTGAACATCTTTTTTTTAAATATCGCACACTGATTTTTTAAAATGAAATTACATTTTTCTTAATACTTTGAACGTATCCCTTTCATAATCTACTCTACTGCTACTCTGATTATTTAGTTCTCTGGCAATGTTTCATTCCTGGGATGTTGCTCTGCTTTTAGTTGGGTCAAGTCTCAGTTGGTTCATCAGTTTTTTGTCACTATGCCTTGCCACCTGCAGAAACCACTTGCTTTAACTGCTCTTACTTAACTGCTGAAAGTAATTATTTTTGTTAAAAAATGCTTTAGTACAGCTCTGCTGGTAAATGCAATAAATAGACAATCAGGTCGTGACAATAATGACCGGAGGTTGTGTGTTGCTGCACACTGGCAGCCTTATTGGCTGATACATTAAGACATTCTGCGGAAGCCATTAGATTGAGGAGATGGGGATGGGGGAAATGCAGGGAAACAAAGTAATGGAAGTCTTGTCAATGAAACGGGTGATGAATGGATAACACTCAGTGTTCGGAATCCATGCAAAACTTCACTAACTGGTATAAGGGACAAAGCTGTGCATACTTGTTGGTTGAGGCATGACATGGAATAATCACACATTTAGAAAAAGAAAAAAAGGAGGTGAAAGGTGAAATTGATATATGTGAATTTAATGGCATAGTCTCAAATGCTAATGCATTTAGTATGGCAAAACGGGTACAGATGTCCAAGGTTTGGACCAAAACTATCAGTTATTTAATAACATAAAAAGGACGAAGCTTGTAAAAATCTCTGGTTTAAGGAGGTTCATACTTGATTTCTGATAGAAAATTATTACCGGTAATAAAATATTAATAAGTATGTTATAAGGAAAAACAGTGATGTATGAATTATTATTTCTAATTCAGATTTGTTTTTCCATTAGCTTAATAAGAGATGGAAAACCTGGTGCCTCCATTGTGAGTTATTTACAGATATTTTAAGCCAGAGATGCTGGCTTATACCCACAGATAATATATAAAAGATGCAGTGTTTCTTTTTAAGTAAATAAGTAATTATCTCACCATGTTGAAGAGTAGGTTTGTCCTGATGATGATTCTAGTCAACTCATCATGCTACCTGAGCAACAGATCTGCTCTCACAGCACATCCTTTTATGCAGCTGGAGAACATTAAAGTGAGCATGCTGTAAACGACTGTGAATACCCACAATAAAAGTATCTTTTTTCACACTGTGCAAATCAGAACTTGCAACGTGAGCTTTAAGCTTGACCAAATAAGAAGTGGTGGCTTCTGTGAGGTGAGCACGGTTTGTAAAAACACAACATAAATCGATCAGAGAATGGATTTACTGTTTTATTCTCATTGAAAATACTTCTATATGTCCCCTCCCGTATGTGTCGTGGGAGTGCGAACTGAAAAACCACCAAACTGCATCGTCCAAGTTAACACGGTCTGCTCTAGGCTATAGCACAAATAAACTTCTTACGTAGATAAAGAGTTTTGGAGTTGGAGGAAGTACACATTGCCTTTTTTTATCCTGTTGTACTAGAAAGCATTATTAGACACGGTGGGTATCACAGCTTGGTTTGGAAACCTGCCTTTATACCCGCAATCCAAAATAAGCGCTCTACTGTGGACAAGTTTGAAGGAGTCGTACAGCTTCATACACCCTTAAGGCTCTTTGGGAGGAGTCATTGAGCTTGCTCGCTCTGAAATATCACCTGTGATTTCTCACTTTAATGTGAGCTATTTCCTTGAGGCGTGCTTTGCAGTTTTCCTCAGTACAGCTGACTGTTAGAAAGACTGTTTGTGCCGGTGTCAATTACACTAAATGCTGAAGGGCAACATCCAAGTTCTGTTTTTATGTGGAACTTTATTTATTTATTTACAACTCGAGCACTGACTGCAAAAGAAAAAAAGGGAGTACGTCTATCTGTGTTAAATTAACTGTAAGCTTTTACAAAATCTGCTTAATCTACTTTATCATATTGATAACCAGGTGGAAAAATGTACTTGTTTGATAAAATAACAAACAAAATTTTACACAATAGCTGACACAATGACCGGCATGGCAAAATTGTGCTTAACGAAAAAAGACAGCGTGAATCATCAGATCACTATTTGCTCATTGTGTTTCATTATAAATAACAGAGCAGAGAAAAAACAATGTTTACAAAGTTGCCCAGAGGAATAGTAGTTCAGCAATCTGTTTGTGTGTGTGTGAACGCTTGTGTGAGCATTTGGGCAAGTATGCAACTGCCAGGTCAGCCAGGCTAAACATCCATCCCGTGTCTATGTTTGGGTTTATGGTATCACAGCCATCTCATACGTCAGGGCCCTCCAGCCAGCAGTGTTATTACTTATCTTGCAAGTCGTTTGAATCAAAACATGCGGAGGAGCTACGAGACTGGCTGAGGTAACCAGGACCAAACGCTGTCTGCCAGGGATGAGTCAGTGCCCAGTTGAAGCTGAGACGTCAGCAGTTTGTTTGGCTTTCCACCTTGAGAAGCTGGTTATGATTACAAATATAATTCCATTACAGTGGTGTATTTCGGCTCAGGCACTCCTTGGCACATTGTTAGGTTCTGGAGACAAGCTGCAGATAGTTTCTCATTTAATCTGCAGCTACTGGTTATTGTGTGTGTTGATCTTTATTCAATTTAAAATAATAAGTCTATTATTCTATCATATTATATCTATTAATCATCTGTCGCTTGCATTTTGACATTTCTACCATTCCTACTGGGTGATTCCAATCGATGCATCACATCTAAGGGAGGATATTTGTAAGCTGAGTTTTTAATGGAGCTATTTGAGTTAAAAAGCCCCAGTAAAAATAATACCATCATGCTATGCACTTCAAATGCACTGCACATGGTAAATCCACACTTGGCTGGGAAATTAAATGACTGTCCTAAATGTGATAAAATTGATTTATCTTACATGTACACGTTGGTGTATCGCATGCAGAACTGTGCAAAAATCTTCAGTCAGACCTAATTTCTTTATATTTTGCTTCCTAGGTGCTGGACTTTCCTTCTCATTTTTAGGAGGCCTTGAGCAATAGTTCTTCTGAAGGACCTTTTCTTCAGACATTGGCAGCTTTTTCATTTATTTTTAGTGTGGTCCTTGTACGTGTGCATTTTTAGAGAAATTTGTTTGAACTTAATTTTAGGATTTGTTTTTGTTTCCTAGCAGCCTGTCACAAAAGCACATAATAAACACATAATATGCTCTAGTTTCTTCAGTTGAATCTCGGAAAAATGCCAAAGATAACACAGTATTTTTGCACAAAAAGGTTGATTCCCAAAGAACTATTAGAAAAAATCGTGGCATCTCAGTATAGCATGTGGTATGTCCTTAACCGCCTAGGACCTGGTGTCCACATATGTGGACATCACATTTTGGGTTATTTAGACCAAAATACTGAATTTTGCTCTACAAGGGCCTGATATCCACTTACGAGGACATTATACTGCTACTGTTCTATCAAAATTTTAAATGAATATCCTCATATGTGGCTCTTATTTTTCTTAGAAACAAAAATCAGGTTAAAAAAAATCTGGTAATTCTTTGTTTTTACACTCATCGGGCCCCAATCAGCCCAAATATCAAAGAAAAATTTAAAATGCATGCTGTGGAAGAGTTCGGGTCTTAGGAGGTTAAAACACTTTTGGAAACTGACTAAGTGGAGGATAAAGAAGAAGTAAGAGGCCTAAAACATGATCTAGAGTAAATATACAGTATCTAAAAGTCACATAATAAAAAAAGGAAAAAATCTAGCAAGGAGGGAGTATAATAGTGTGAGTCTACCACCATCGGTTGAGGCTCTGTAATGGTTTGTGCCTGAATTTCAGCCAGTGGTGCTGAGATCTCATCAAAGTTTATGGGACTATAAACACAGAAAAGTACCATCATATTTTCTCCTGCCATGCAATAACATCTGGAAAGCATCTGATTGGCAGCGGCTTCATTTTTTTTAGCATGACAAGAATCCCAAACAGACTGCCAATACAGTAATAGCATACCTAGTCAGACAAACACACAATGGAACACTATCAGTCATGGACTGGCCTCCTCACAGCCTGGACATCAACACTGAAGCAATGTGGGATCACCTTGACAGAGAACAGAACAAAAGGCAGCCAACATGCAAAGAATAGCTTTGTAGAAGCCTGGAGAACTAGTCCCGAAGACGACTTAAAGAAATTACAAACCGGCTTACCTAAGAGAGTTCAGGCTTTGTTGAAGAATTAAATAATGACATTCAAGCTTTTTTTAATTGTGCAAACTGTTTTTGCCTTATATACTGTATTTATATTTATGTAAAACATAAAGAAATGAGGGATGGCTTGATACTGCACAGTACTCTAAGAGGAGCTATTTTGACTCATCAGAGCATGAATATGGCAGGTGAAATGTTTTTTTTTAAAGCAGTCGGGTTTTAGTAACTGAGTCAGAAAGCAATGCCAACATGGTCATTATTAGGACTCTGGAATTGGCTCACCTAAATGGAAGGCACTCATCATTTATAGTATTAATCACAGCTGTGCTTTTCATGCTATGGTATGCCAAAATGTCTGCTGTGAAAAAGCTCTATTAGCGCATAAACTCCTTTAACCTCACATTATCGCCAGGATAGCTGAACTGCCAACATAACAAACAGCTGTGAAAGTGTAATGTTGCTTCTTTGGACCCGGAGAACACAGTGTAAGTGTGATTGCTGGTTTAAAGAACTTTATTTTTTTTATCTTGTTGCAGAAAGTTTTCCTGATGGGGAAAAAAAAAAGATAAAAGTCTGCTTTATTTTTCATTTGAAGTTGTATTGTGATGGGTTCTTTTCATTATCCAGTGAGGTAAATTGCTCTCTATAATGATTTGATGATGAACTAGTTTATCCTGTTCGAAATTATGTCTAATTACTGAAAAGCAAGTGGCTCTTGCCAAGCAAACATTTGTGCCCAGGTTTCTGCAACTTCATTATCCACCGATGCCCCTTCAAAAAAACAGAGAAACAAG